TGCTCAAGTGAGATGACATTCAAATGAAAACCCTAACAAACTTATTTCACTGGACATATTTCTTCCTTATTTTTAAAGTTCAGCCTCTCCTTCATTGAAAACATTTTTAAATAAAAATAGTGTCACTAAGTGTCCAATTCTTGTCTAGAAGTCAGCTGGCTGTAAAAATTCCTCCGGAAGCCACATCACATCTATGGGCAGGTTAGAGAAGTACTTTCAGCTTTCACTGATGTGTGACTGGGGATGCCCTGGCCCTCCTGGTGACCACTCAGCACAGTGACATTGTAAGATACACAGCTCATGCCTGGCTGCTCCATCAGAGCTTACTTAATAGTTCTCAGGATTCATTCGGTCATTTTATCCACAAAAATTTTGCCATATAAATAAAATTTCCAAATTCCTGCCTCTAGAAATTAGATGCTTTCCAAAAATACTGTATTGTTCTATATATTTTTCCATTCTGTTTCCTGAAGGGGAAACACTCCACAGGACAGAGATAACTAATTTAGTTAAATTAGTATAGAATTTGAGATTAAAAGTAGAACTATTTTATTGGATGACTGATACTGGTGTTAGAATTTAAGTGGGTTGGGCTTTTCATTATAATTCAGTCATTCGGTAGCTGAGAGTCTTAGCTTTAGACCAAGTTAAAATGGACACCTTAAGGGGAATATCTCTTTACTTTTAAACCATGGTCTGCAATATCGCTGAACTCCCCTCGGTGCCATACGTGGTGCTGACAGGCTCAGCAGAAGAAACTCAGTGCCTGCAATCCTAGGAAAACACAAGCCTCTCTGGAAAATGCTGTGGATGGGGTATTTGCTTTGCTGTCATATGTAATTTATTCATGAGATTTGAAAACGTTCAACTGTGCTTCTCTAAAATCAAACCAGACATGCTGCATGGTTGGTGTTAACCAGTGTGCAAGAAACTGTAGTTTCCCTTTCTTTTTTTTTTTTTGAGATGGAGTTTCGCTGTTGTTACCCAGGCTGGAGTGCAATGGTACAATCTCTGCTCACCACAACCTCCACCTCCTGGGTTCAGGCAATTCTCCTGCCTCAGCCTCCTGAGTAGCTGGGACTGCAGGCATGCACCACCATGCCCAACTAATTTTTGTATTTTTAGTAGAGACGGGGTTTCACCTTGTTGACCAGGATGGTCTCGATCTCTTGACCTTGTGATCCACCCGCCTCAGCCTCCCAAAGTGCTGGGATTATAGGTATGAGCCACCGCGCCCGGCCTGTTTCCCTTTCTTTAAAATAACTTTGAAAGTTTTCTCAAAACCTCCAATAATATTGTATATTAACATGAACTAAACTGCTTCAGACTCTGCCATTTGTTTCTTAGTCTTAATAATGTAATACGACATTAGCAAGTAAACTAGGTACTTTATACACATTATCTCAAATTTAATTCTTACAAGCCTATAATGTAGATACTATATTATCTTTATTTTAAACTGTGTCATAGACTAATTAAGAAATTTTTCCAACATCACAGAGTTTGCAACAAGGGTGAGATTTAACGCCAGAAATCTAACTTCAAAGTCTACTTTCTTACCCATTATGTAGTTAGCTTCAGTTATGAAGCTCTCCATAAGTTTATGACAAAACAATATGCACTTGCAATAGATGATAAATTATTATGTAACGACTAGAGAAGATCAGATGAGATTCCAGTAAAAGGGAACTTCTGTGCCTCATCAACCTCTCAATGTTCATCATGCTCACAACAGTTTTTTTTTTTTTTTTTTTTTGATATGGTGTCTTACTCTGTCGCCCAGGCTGGAGTGCAGTGGTGCACCTTCACCTCACTGCAACTTCCATCTCCTGGGTTCAGGCGATTCTCCCACTTCCGAGTATCTGGGATTACAGAAATGCAGCACCACTCCCAGCTAAGCTGTGTATTTTTAGGAGAGATGGGATTTTGCCATGTTGGTCAGGCTGGTCTCAAACTTCTGATCTCAGGTGATCCACCTGCCTTGGCATCCCAAAGTGCTGGGATTATAGGCGTGAGCCACTACTCCCGGCTAATCAGAGCAGTCTTAACTGCAATTTGTTGAATGATAATTTAAACGGAAATGACATTTCCCTGTAGAGACCCCAGGATCCACAGTTAATATCTGTTTCTCAACATCAGAGATTTTTTTTTATGGGTGTTGGAGGAATTCTAGCAATATTTACTGAGTACTTCTGATGAGTCAGGCATTGGGCTAGGAACTGTAGGAAACTGAAAGATAAATAGGGAAAATTCCTTCCTTTAGGCAACTGGGCTCTAGCTGGGAGACAGGGAAGCTTACTCACGTAACAACTGAGTTTCAAGCAAAACACAAGCGGAGTAGAAGAGAATCAGAGTTTCCATGGCAATCTGGGAAGACTACATAGAGAAGATGAGATTTGAACAAGCCATTAAACAATGCATCCAGTAGGACTTTGAAAGGCAGATAATGGCCATGCAGAGTTGGTAGAATAAGGAAAATATTGGACTGGGAGTAAAAATAGAGATTTTTAATACGCCAGGCTTATTTCAAGGTCTTCCAATTACCACCTGACCGCCTTGGTCAAATCATTCGTTGTTTTGTGCCTTAGTTTCTTTGGTTGTAAAATAGAGACTGCATCCTGGGGTTCTAGTAACAACTAAATAATATACAGTATTGAGAACAGTTAATAAAGAGGCTAGAAAATACGGACCCCCCTTTTTTTTTGAGACAGAATCTTGCTCTATCCTGAGGCTGGAGTGCAGTGGCGCAATCTCAGCTCACTGCAACCTCCACCTCCTGGGTTCAAGTGACTCTTGTGCCTCAGTCTCCCAAGTAGCTGGGATTACAGGCATGCACCACCACACCCAGCTAATTTTTGTATTTTTAGTAGAGACTGGGTTTCACCATGTTAGCCAGGATGGTCTCGATCTCCCGACCTCATGATCCGCCTGCCTTGGCCTCCCAAAGTGCTGGGATGGCAGGAGTGAGCACACGCCCGGCCAATACTGACTCTTTTAATTTATCATTTTGTAGTAGTAGAAATAATGTTTAAGGAAAGAACCAGCAAGAGCAAACACATACCACAGGCACCTCTCTAATCAATACATGAGAATATCTATTTATTTGATTCCTATTATCTGCTGCTGGGTGCTTTGCACATATGGCCCCATTTAATGCTGACAGTGATGAAGCAACATTTGACCTGCTTATTGAATCTCTCTCATTTTTCTCATCTATAAGCAGTGGTTAATAGCTCAAATTTTTGCATAGGTCTAGTAAGGATTATATGAGATAATATGTACAAAGGATCCGGTGCATGGCAGGTATTTGAGAAATGCTTGCTTTCCTTATTTATTACTCCTCCATCTACCTATTTTCCTGATGAACATTTCACCCAGCCCCTGGCTCATCTCCCTGATCGTGCCATTCCTGATAATTACATAATTGACCGTCCTTCTGGTTTACTGACTGGAGTCCAGTGTAGGGAAGACCTTGCTTTAGTCTAAATCTGACTGCATCACATCCTCGTGTGGCTTTGGTCCTGTTACTAACCTCTTTGTCTCAGCCTCGTCATCTGCGAGTGAGCATCAGAATCGATGCCTGTCACTGTGGTTTCATGAGAAGCAAACGACATAATAAGTGGACTGTACTTAGTTCAGTGCTTGGTACAAATTGAGTGCTCTCTAAGTGGTTAAATGGTTGTCCGTGTTAGTCACTGTCACTTTAGTCCGAGATACCCAGGCTTCTCATCGCCATGTGATTGTGTGGTCGAGTCTACCTGCATAGTGTCTCCCTTCTTACACATTTTCCCTTCCAAACTCCTTTCTCTACCAGAAGTCAAGGCAATCCTTTAAGAAATGGAAGTCTGGTGGCTCACGCCTGTAATCCCAGCACTTTGGGAGGCCGCGGCGGGTGGATCCCGAGGTCAAGAAATCGAGACCGTCCTGGTCAACATGGTGAAACCCCGTCTCTACTAAAAATACAAAAAATTAGCTGGGCATGGTGGCGCGTGCCTGTAATTCCAGCTACTCAGGAGGCTGAGGCAGGAGAATTGCCTGAACCCAGGAGGCAGAGGTTGCAGTGAGCCGAGATTGTGCCATTGCACTCCGGCCTGGGTAACAAGAGCAAAACTCCATCTCAAAAAAAAAAAAAAAAAAAAAAAAAAAGGCAATGGAAGTCACAGCATGTCTTTCTGCAGATTAAGACTCTGCATGTTTTTAACCTATTCTTCAAGGCTCTTCCTGGCCCACCTTAGTCCTTCCCCTGGTTTTATCTCCTAGATAAACAAGACCAGTCATCCTGGACTTCTTTCCATTCCTCAAACATATCAAGCTCTTTCCTACCTCTGGGACTTTACACTTGCAATTTCCTGTCTGGAATGTTCTCCCTGCTCACCCTCCAGATCTTGGCATGATTGACAGTTGTTTTTTTTTTTTTTTGAGACGGAGTCTTGCTCTTTGCCCAGGCTGGAGTACAGTGGTGTGATCTCAGCTTAGTGCAATCTCTGCCTCCCAGGTTCAAGCAATTCTCCTGCCTCAGCCTCCTGAGTAGCTGGGATTACAGGTGCCTGCCACCATGCCCAGATAATTTTTATATTTTTAGTAGATATGGGGTTTCACCATGTTGGCCAGGCTGATCTTGATCTCCTGACCTCAGGTGATACACCTGCCTCAGCCTCCCTAAATGCTGGGATTACAGGCGTGAGCCACCATGCCCAGCCTGCATGACTAAATTTTATCACTTGTGTCTATAAACATTACTTCCCCAGAAACTTGCTTCTTAACCTCCAACTTAGAAAAGCATTTGGTCATTACTTGAAAAGGAGATAATCAGGCTTCGAATAGATATTATAATTCTATGCCCTATTGCATTCCCCTCATAACAGGTACCGGTGTCTTGATATTTTATTTCCATTTGTTTATTTTTTTGTTCTCCTCTCCTGTCTGAGGAGAATGAAAGTTTGGTGAAAGCAGAGTCTGAGCTCAGTACATATTTGTAATGAATCTGTAAACCAAGGACAATGGTAGGAATTCTCTCACAGGGCTTTATAAGGATTAACCAAGATAATGCATGCAAACATCTTACTACAGTGCCTGAAACACAGTCAGGTCTCAATGGATACCAGACCTATTGGGTTCAGGTAATAAAATAGTATATGGAGCTCCATTCTTCCCCTCAAGTGCTTTCAATGGCAAAAACCGAAGTTACTTTTGCACCAACCTAATAGTAAGTGCTCTGATGGAAGTATACACCAGGGGCCCATAATGCAGAGAGGAGAAGGTAACTAGAGTTTCCAAGAGTGGATAGAAAACTGAATGGAGGAGAGGGCTCCCCAGGTATCTAAGGGGAGTAGGTATTTTCAGACAGAGGGAGTTGCCTATGAAAAGACACTTAGAAGATGGTGAGCATTTTGAGATCTTACTGAAACTGAGGGTGTATGTGTGGAGTGGTAGGGATGATGCTGGAGAGGCAGGTTGTGGCCAGACTCTGGAGGGTTAATGAGAAGTCGTTTTTCAGGTGTTTTAACCTTTTATCCAGAATAGATTATGCACAGCAGTACACAGAGAAATAGTAAGAAGAGAATTTACGAGGCAAAGGTTCTCTGGCTTTTTCTTTCATAAGTACGTAATGAAATAGCATTTACCTGCATACGAGATACTAATGCTTTCAGGAACCCTGAAAGACTGTTAGCATTGTTTTTATTGCGCCCTTTTTAACAGATGAGAATGATGAGGCTCAATCTCTTGACTCCAAATCTGGTGCATTTGCTATACTACAGTGCTTTATTGGACAACTTTTGGGGGTAGGGCTGAAAATCAAAGATTAATTTTATACTTGATGGAATAATGCAGGTATATTTTCCCCTCTGGGTATTTAGACATGCTGTTGTGTGAAGTACACATGACAAGGAGTGGAGAAGTCAAATCTCAAGAGGAAGCCATGTCACTGACCTGTTTGCGTCCCTTTTCATCCTACCTCAACTTGAATTTATCCAAGAAATATATAAAGCTCCAGGGAGTTCCCCTGGGGTTCCAACTCAATTGGCTCCTCAGCTTGAACTGTCAACCTTCTCTCTGTTACCCTTCCACCAAATTAGAGGGCAGCACCAATTTCTACGATAAGGGTGCTTAACATCAGATCTAGAGAGATGCTCTGGGCTCCATCAATATCCCCATCATCACCACTTTCATAGCCACCACCATCACCACCATTCTCACGACAATCTGCAACTTCACCATCTCCATCCTCACTATCACCATGACAACATCATCATCATCACACTCATCTCCATAGTAACCAGCAACACTATCATCATCATTCTTTACTAAACTTCCCCTATGCGTCAAACATTGAGCTAAAGTGTTTTTTTAAATTTATTAGCTCATTTTATTTTTGTGAGAATCTCAATTCTTATTTTGAAGACAGATAAGTCCATGGTTTCAATAAATAGTTAAAAGGTACCACGGAGGTGCCTTCCCTTACTCCGTCACCTGTGTTTGGCCAGTGCTGTCCCGTACCACCATTTAACTAGGCCAGCACCCACCAGCAAGTGTAAGTGATGAAGCAGCAAAGTGGATGCCATTGGACCACATCAGTCTTTGGCCTTCAGCTTTCCAGAAGGTTTTTATGCAAGAATTCTACATGAGAAATATTGACTTGTACACTTGATTGAGGGGCTGATACTTGCAACTCCTAGTTAACATCCTGGGCTTCTTTTTTCAACACACTCTTAATCTTTACAAGACAGGAAACAATTCTGTTGGACAAACAACAGAGGGCTGAAAACAATTTTAGAGCAAGTTATAATCTGTGCTTAAAAATGCACAGAAGCAGGATAGTACTTAGCCCGGGGCCTGGCGGCTGGGCCGATATCCATGATGAACATAGACACAAAAATCTTCAATAAAATACTGGCAAGCCAATTGCAACAGCACATCAAAAGGCTTATCCACCACGATCAAGTAGGATTCATCCCGGGGATACAAGGCTGGTTCAACATATGCAATTCTATAAACGTAATCCACCACATAAACGGAACCAAAAACAAAAACCACATGATTATCTCAATTGATGCAGAGAGGGCCTTTGACAAAACTCAACAGCCCTTTATGCTAAAAACTCTCAATAAACTCGGTATTGACGGAACGCATCTCAAAATAATAAAAGCTATTTATGACAAACCAACAGCCAATATCATACTGAATGGGCAAAAACTGGAAGCATTCCCTTTGAAATCTGGCACTAGACAAGAATGCCCTCTCTCACCACTCCTATTCAATATAGTACTGGAAGTTCTAGCCAGAGTAATCAGGCAAGAAAAAGAAATAAAGTGTATTCAAATAGGAAAGGAGGAAGCCAAATTGTCTCTGTTTGTAGACGACATGATAGTATATCTAGAAGACCCCATCGTCTCAGCCCAAAATCTCCTGAAACTGATAAGCAACTTCAGCAAAGTCTCAGGATACAAAATCAATGTGCAGAAATCACAAGCATTCCTATACACCTATAACAGACATAAAGAGGGCCAAATCAAGAATGGCTGATTTTCTTCTTTCCAATAGGAGGTCTCTGCCACCAACGTGCTCTGCCACATCTTAGGTCAGGCCAAGAAGCATCCGAGCTTGGTCCCCTTCTTTGTGTTTATTGGAGCTGGAGGTGGTGGAGCAGCCCTGTATCTCTTACCTCTGGCATTGTTCAATACAGATGTTTGTTGGGACAAAAAGAATAACCCAGAGCCCTGGAACAAAGTGGGTCCCAACGATCAATCCAAGTCCTCCTCAGTGAATGTGGATTACAGCAAAGTGAAGAAAGAACATCCAGATTTCTAAATGAAATGTAAAGGTGCTTTAAAATGAAGGTCTTCCAGAAGCCATCCACATAATTTTCCACTGAACCAGGAAATATTTCTTCTGTAAATGCATGAAATCATGTTAATGTAATCTACTGGTGATTACACTGGTTAGTAAATAACTGAAACTTGAAAAAAAATGCACAGAAGCAGAATGAGAGGGTTTTAAGATGGTACCTAGATGCATCTACTACTCACCCCTTCCATGGCCAGAAACCAAAATAGTGAGTAGATAATCACACTTCAAATAGCTAATCTAAGAGAGAACATCAGGATTCAACAAAGAAGTGATGGAAAACACTAAAAGTAAGAAAAGAAAGGAAAGCGAGGTAGCCTGTTCAATCAGGATCAGCTGTGAGTCTTGAGAGGATCCCTAATGTAGAAAAAGGGTAAGGGGTACACGTTCCCATTGTTGACTCCTATAATCCTTGCCATGGGAGAGCCCCAATCCTTGCAGGCTCAGAGTCTAACATAGGGAGCTGCCTGGAGACTGTATGAAGACATTTCTGCAGAGAGGGAGCTAGGTCTCACAAACCCCAAGTCTTAAGCAACTGAAGAACAGTCTTATCTTGAGACCCCAGCTCCCATCAGACTGGATTTTGTGGCCCTTGCAAGTGCTGAGGTGGCAGTCTTTGGCAGTAATCTTGCTGCCCCATCAGGGAGGCAGCTGTTCATTTACACATGCCCCGAGGAAAAATTCCACCACCTGTAATCACCACGTCCACTTTGGGATGCTGCAGCATGAGCGAAAGCATGAGCAAAGCTCATGTCTCCAGCTTCCTGCCTATGGCTGCTCCAAAAGAGAGCAACTCTGTACCTCCCAGTAGCAGGGCCACAGCACAGCCACTGCCACACTGACCTGAGCATTCTGCCAGCAGCCGGAGCGTTAACCAACCATGCTTATCACAGGTAGTGCCTGCATGTACCCCTGGGGAGCCTGAGAACAGGTCTACCTGGCCTGACTCTACTTCCCATCCCTTGGCCAGAGCACACTGTCTGTGGACCTGGCGATCACCCAGCCCAGTCTACCATGGGTGGCACCTGAGCAATTCTCCTGGGGTCTGAGATCAAGCCCATGCAAGTAGCCACTACCACCACAGCTGACCACCTAATTGAGGAACTGGGGACCAGTTCATCCAACCCATGACAGCCACTGTCTATATCAGCACAGACTGCTGGAGTCCCAGAAGGTTGTCCCAGCACTGCTACTGCCTTTGACCATATTGCACCAGCTGCCTAAGGAATCAAGAACCTGCTCAACTGCCCAGCCCACTGCTCATATTCCCAGCACACAGACAAGCCATCTGGAGGCTGAATAATTGGGGTGTCTGGACTCAGTAACACCGGTGTAGCATGTGCCACTCTGGAGCTCAAGGACAGTCACACTCAGTTCACTGCTGACACCACCAGGGCTTGAGGACTGGCCTATTTGGCATCCCAGTTCCTCACAAAACTTCACCACACCCTCCGTTAACAAGTACAGCCTAAGCTGCCAAGAAATTCTAGACACCACGAATGCTGTTTACAGCTGAAGAAATCACACAGAAACCACACTACTACACAGGTCCAGAATCAAAGCCAAGATGCTATACCCGACCAACATTATAGACACATCTCCAGGAAAGTGTTTTCCTTTACAAAAGCAACTGGAAAAAGAAAGAAGGAGTGACCATTTCACCAGTTTCAAAGATATCCATGTAAGAAGAGAGGATACATGAAAAAGCAAGGAAATATGGCACCTCCAGATCAACACAATCGTTCTCCAGCAATAGAAGCTAATCAAAAGAAATGTATAAAATCCTCAAAAGAGAATTCAAAAACATTGATACTAAAGAAGCTCACTGTGAACTTCTTTTTTAGATTAATTCAACTACATTTTTAGAATTCAATTCAAGTTTTAGAATTCATTAGAATTCTAAAATATAAGACAAACAAATTACAGCAACAATTCAGGGTACAAAAAAGAAATGTACCCAAGAGTTAGATGTCATTAAAAATAAAAATTAAAACATTGGGAGTGGAGAATTTAGTGAATGAAATATAAACACATTTAGAAGTTTCAACAGTTGTCTTGATCAAACAGAACAAAGACTCTCAGAGCTTGAAGATAGGTCCTTTGAAATAGCCCACCAGAGAAAAATAAAGAAAAAAGAATAAAAATGATATGGGGGCACCATAAAGTAACGGAATATTATAATTGTCAGTTTTCTAGAATATGAAGGGAAAACAAAAGGGTTAGAAAACCAATTTAACAAAATAATAGATAAAAACTTCTGAAATCTAACAAGAGAACATATCAAATCCAAAATTAGTAGAAGGAAAAAAATAATAAAGATCAGAGCAAGACTACACAAAATAGAGATCTGAAAAAATACCAAGTTTCAACAAAACAAAAAGGTAGTTTTTTTTAAAAAAAGATGAACAAAATCAATAAACCACTTGGAAGGCTAACGAGAGAGAGAGAGAGAGAGAAGACTCAAGTAAACAAATTCAGAAATTAAAAAAAAGACATTACAACTGATGCCACAGAAATACAGAAGATCATCAGAGGCTGTTATGAAAAAGCATACATTAACAAGCTAGAACTCCTAGAAGAAATGAATATATTCCTGTACATATGCAACATATCAAGACTGAATCAGGAAAATGGAATAGCTAAACGGAACAATAATGAGTAATAAGATTAAATCAGAATAAAACATCTTCCAACAAAAAAATAATTCAGGACCAAGTGGCTTCATGGCTGAATTCTACCAAACTTTAAAAGAAGACCTCACTCTAATTCTCCTGAAACTATTCCAAAAAATTGAAGAGGAGGACATTCTTCCTAACTCATTCTGTGAGGGCAGTATTGCCCTGATATTAAATCCGGACTGTGATGCAACACAAAAGTAAAACTGATGAACATCGATACAAAACTTCCCAACAAAATACTGGCACACTGAATCCAAGAGCACATTAAAAAATACACCACAATCAAGTGGAATTTATCCCATGGATGCAGATGATTAAACATATGCAAATCAATAAATGTGATACAACTTATCAACATAATAAATACAAAACCATATGATCATCTCAATAGATGTGGAAAATTCAACACCCCTACATGAGGAAAACTCTCAAGAAACTAAGCACAGAATGAGCATGACTCAGCACAATAAAGGCCACATAGGACACACAAACAACTAACATCACACTGAAAAGGGGAAAAGCTGAAAGCCTTCCCCTTAAGAACTGAAATAAGACAAGAACGGCTGCTTTCACCTATTCCAAGTACTGAAAGTTCTAGCCACAGAAATCTGGCAAGAGGAAGTCATTTGGATTAAAAAAGAATAAATTAAATTATTCCTCTTTGATGCGGATATGATCATATACCTAGAAAAACGTAAAGACTCCACCAAAAAACTCTTGCATCTGATAAATAAATTCAGTACAATTGCAGGATACGACATACAAAAATCCATAGCATTTCTATGCACCAATAATGAACTAGCTAAGAAAGGAATGAAGAAGGCAATTCCATTTACAATACCAACAAAGGAAACAAAATATCTAGGAATGAAGTAATCAAGGTGGTGGAAATCCCTAAAAGTAAAACTGTAAAACATGAATGAAAGTAACCAAAGAGCACACAAATGAATCAAAAGACTCTTCATGAAATATTCATATCATTAATGTTTTTGTACTGGAACCATAATGCCCAAAGCAATCTATAGATTCAGTACAATCACTATAAAATACTAATGCTATTTTTAACCATAATAAAAAAAAATTCTAAAATTTGTATAGGACCAAAAAAGAGCCCAAAATAGCCTGAGCAATCCTCAGCAAAAAGCACAAAGCTGGAGGCATTACACTACCTGTTTTCAAAATGTATTACAAGGCTATAGGAACACAAAGAGCATGGTATTGTTATAACAACAGACACAAAGATCAAAAGAACAAGGTGGATAGTCTGGAAAGAAAATAACATATTTAAAATCAACTGATTTTTGACAAAAGTGTCAAGAACATACATATGGAACAGACACCCTCTTCAATAAATGGTATTGTAAAAATTAGATATCCCTAAATAGAAGAATGTAACTGAATCCCTTACAATATATAAAAATCAACTGAAGATGAATTAAAGACTTAAACACAATACTCAAAACTACAGGAAGAAAACATAAAACACTCAGGACATTGGCCTAGGTAAATATTTTATGGCTAAGACCTTAAAAGCACATACAATAAAAACAAAAATAGACAAATGGGACTATATTAAACTAATAAGATTCTTCACAGCAAAAGAAATAATCAATGGAGTGGAGACAACCTGGTAAGTAGAGAAAATATTTGCAAATTTTTAATCTGACAAAAGACTAATATTCAGGATATACTATAAACTTGAAAACTTAACAGTAAAAAAAAAATTTCATTAAAAAGCGGGCAAAGGACATGAATAGATATTTCTCAGAAGACAAGAAAATGGCCAGCAAGTACGTGAGAAGCTGCTTAATATTACTAATCACCCGGTAAATACAAATCAAAACCACGGTCAGATGTCATCTCACCCCCAATTAAAATGGCTATTACTAAAAAGACACAACACAAAAGCTGCTAGTGATTTTGTGGAGAAAAAGGAATTCTTATACACTGTTAGTGGGAATGTAAATTACTGCTGCAGCTATGGAAAGCAGTACGGAGGTTTTGCGAAGAACTGAAAGGAGAACTACTGTACGATCCGACAACCCTACTACTGCGTATTCATCCGTAAGAGGGAATTGTGCTGGAGCAATACCTGCACCCCATGTTTATTGTAACATTAACCACAACAGTCAAGATATGAAATCAAGCTAAGTGTCCATCAGTGAACAAACGGATAGAGAAAAGGGAGTACAGACACACAAGGAAATACTATTCAGTTCTCTGGGTGCGGTGGCTCAAGCCTGTAATCCCAGCACTTTGGGAGGCCGAGGCGGGTGGATCAGGAGG